GCTGTAGTTCGTGCGTTGGGCCATGCAATGCGGATGGGAGGGACGCTCCAGATGGATCGTAGGTATGGAGATGGGAGGCGTCGACTTGATCCTAGTCGTTATGAGCGTATCGATATATCACTCTAGCCCCACGCTAGCTTCCCGAGAAGCGGAAGAACGTCGGCATCATCTCATGACCGACTCACGACGCGGAGCGAAAGTACAAAGGGAATCCCAGAGCCCATAAGCAGGCATGTGGGATTCAGGGAGCTCTGGCATTGTTCAGAGTACAGATATCCGCCCAGGGAATGATGAACGCCAGCCTCGTGTCCGGTCCGAGCTCTGCTCACGGTGGGAAGAAAGGGCACTGAGGTAGACGCCCGCCTAACGGTGTATGATCTCACCGCAAGCAAAGGACAATAGAGGGTCTCTCCGAAACCTTCATGAGCTAAAGGATCCGCTAGTGAAACTTCTCCCGCTTGATCGGAGGCCGCGGTGCCAGAGCTTCATTATGTGCCGAGGGCGCAAACGCCCACGGGTCCCCCCACTTCCTTCCTTCGGACGGGACGAAGCGCAGAGATATAGAGTGCTGCCTAACGGCATCCGCTAGCACCAGCTTCTCGACTTCCGACGCATCGGAATCCAGCGACGCGCTCGACACAGTAATCTGTGATGTTTCCCAGGGCCCCTGGGGGCACCGGACCTGACGCATGAGGTCAGACGGGCCAAATATTGTCGGACAAAGGGCGGAGAGCGCGCCGGGTCATGCTTGCGCCCACCGCCCGTCGACGGCGGCGTGCGAGGGCGTTGTGGCGTCACATGCGCATGCGGGGGAGATCGAATATTTACAGCTCCACATGCTGCTCGATTCCCGCGAGGCTTTCCGGGGGTTCAGACGCCGGCGAAAACGCCTGCCGTAGAGTGGACGGCGTAAACCCCGGGGATCGATGTTCCTCGTCGCGCTCGTGCCGCAGTGCACCTAAGTGCCTTGTACAGTCGCATGACTTAATGCTAAGGTTCGCAAGCTTGGTAACCGAGTGCCCATGCTAGCGGCCGGATGTCTGAGGAGAGGCTACGATCGCGGCAGAAACACCGGCAGCAATGCTTGCGCATCCGAAGCATAGCAAGCATATCGCCGCGAAGGATAAGGGAAACGAGTGCCCCTCTGCTCTGTAAGGTAGCAGGAGCTCGCAGCTCGTACAATTGCGGGCGTCGAACAAAGCTATGTGACGCCCATATCCTCGCATTTCGGTGGCACAGGTTCACAGGGCAAGTGTTCTGAAGCGTTTGTCTGCAACGCGAAGCGTCCATGCAGGCGCACAAGCCCGGCTTCTAGACAGCCTCCCGAGCTCGAGGCTCTGCAGATCTCGCTCGATATGTGCAAGCGGCCCATACGCTCCCACCCTGTGCGCATCTTTTCGCGCGCTCGTAGCCACCGTGCGACGTCGGCGCCCATCCGATCTGTTCTGCTGGTCCCCCCTCAGGTGTGCCTGTGCGACGCCGACTCCGGGGAGATGCGGTGTCTGGGGCTGGCAACAATCGTATATAGGGCCTGGCCGCGGAGGGGGGGAAACCAACCAACCCGCCAAGCCAGACGTCAGCCTTCTGCCAGACATTGTCCCCACACCTGCAGCCTTAAGCAGCCCACTCGCCGCCCACTCGCCGCCCACCCGTATAACCGCACGAAAAGATGTCCACCTCCTCCGCATACGCCGCCCTCCTGGCCACGTTCGCGATGCCCGCCAGCGGCGCACACGACGCACACGCAGCACACGCAGCACACGCAGCACACGCAGCACACGCAGCACACGCAGCACACGTCCCGCTGCACACCCTCGCCGCGCCCGCCGTCACGACGTTCGAGCACACGAAGCGTGCGGCCGTGTCGCGCCCGAGCTCGCCTGGCCCGCGCACGCGCGCACGCACACACCACAACAGCATCAAGGCGAGCGCGGACTCGTACGCCCCTGTGTTCTTCTGAGCACCAGCCCCCGCCCCCTGCCCCCCACCGCCCGCCGCCGCCGCCCCGCCCCGCCCCGCCACTGGCACTGCAACCGTCGCAGCTGCCACTGCACCGCTCTGCATGCCCCTAGTACACGACGAGCACCGTGTGGATCCGAGGGCTCTTGCTTCTTCGGCATTCGGTGTCTCGGACACCCGCTGGGCCTCGTCGTCGCTCCGATGTTGCGAGCCCACGCAGCACACACCAGCACATCGTATCGCCCGTCTTTGGCTTGCGCTGCGCCTTCGGTCCCGAGGCCGAGGCGCAGCGAGCAAGACGGCATAACTTATCAACTTGGGAGGGAGTCGTAAATTATCGGATGTTGAGAGTGGTTAGCCGAAAGTTATGGGAGAGGGTGCGTTTGTCTGCATGAACACTCTTAGCATAATAGGACATGTGCATCTCGTAAGACAAGTACAGTATCTGTTGTAATAGCCCCCAGCTGTAGTTCTCATCCTAGTCACAAGTTTACCTTTAGTAGTAGTATATATTCCGTCAACTGGTAATCAACATTCTGCTACATCTGAAAGGGACGTCAGGAAGCTAGCAGTCGTGTGCCGTTGCAACCCTGCACAAGACACGCACAAGATCTCGCCCAGCCCATCAGATAACATGCACCGCGCGAGTAGATCCAACCAGCCATAACGAACAACAACGCAGCAGAACAACGGGACACTGCGCCCAAAAAAACCCTACAGACCCTTCCTCCCAACGAGCCCCTCCTTCGCACTGCGCCTCGCCCTCAACACCCTCTCCTTCTTCAGCGGCGCAGCAACAGCCTTGCGCTTTACGACCTCCGTCATCTTCGCGCGCGTCGGCACCTTCCCCTCCTCCAGCTCCAGCTCCAGCTCCAGCGCACCCGCACCCGCCCTCGCGTCATCCGTACGCTCGGCGCTGGCCTTCTTCTCCTTCTGCGCCGGCCTGCCGCCGCCCCCGGGCGCAGACTCCGCCGCATCAGCCTGCTGCTGCTGCTGCTGCTGCTTCTGTTGCTTCTGTTGCTTCTGCTTCTTCTGCCGCTGCTGCTGCTGCCTCGTGCGGGGCGGCACGGCGGCGGCGGCGCCCCCGGTGGCGTCGTCCGCGGAGGCGTCCGTGGCGCGTGCGGGTGCTGACGAGGTGGCAGTCGGGGGCCCGGGGTTGGCCTTGCTCTTGCCCTTCTTCTTCTTCTGCGTCTCTGGCGCCTGCGCCGGGGCTTCTTCTTCTTCTTCGTCTGCAGGCGCGGCGGGTGCGGCGGGTGCGGGTGCGGACGGGGTCGGGGTCAGGGGCGCGGCGGGCTTCGCTCTGCTCTTGCCCTTCTTCGTCGCGCCGAGCGTCTGCGCGGGGGCTTCTTCGGGCGCTGCTGCGTTCTGTGCGCTCTTTGGTGTTTTGGGTGCGGAGGGCGCAGGCGCGGGCGCGAGGGAGGCGGGGGG